TTACAACCCTTGAAGCCCCGTGAAGCTTTAATGAAAGGATGTTAAAACTTTGCCGAAGGGCACTGCAAAAATGTGTCAGTACGAGAGACTCCTTTCACATTATAGTCATTTGAACTATTGTTAATAATAAAACGATAATTAGTGCAGCTTTCAGAACTGTGTATTTTTTCATGAGACCAAACCTCGAGACAAGGGCAGAGGTTTTATTTCACATAGCAATGGTTCTTTATTTGAAATAAGACTATACCATAACCTATTTAAATTGGCACATATAATAAGATGCGGTCAAAATTGTTGCTGTGAAGCAGACATCAGCGAGTGACTTGTCAGAGCTATGTATCATGGATTCAATTTCCATGAATCAATTAAAGCAGGATGTGGCAATATCAGGGAACAATCAGATTTGCACATTTTTTCTCTTTCTTAAAAAGGCTCAGTTAATCTCTGTCATCTTGGGATGTATTTAAGGAATAAGCAGTAAGACACAAGCAGCTGGTTCACCACAATGAGGTAAAGTTTTATATTACATTTATTCAGCAGCTGAACATGTATTTTAATATCAACTCCCCACTGATATCAACAATTTCAGTTGCATAATAGCAGAGAGGACCCCAGTCCTTACTGTCCATCCGAACACTGCGTCTCTGGCTGAAATCCCAAATGGAGTCAGAATGTACGTAGCAATTTATTATTTAAAAAAATGGGACACGTCGAGGTGAAAACATTCACTTTCTTTACAGCAAATACACACTCACGGCGATTCATGAACTTTATTCAGGAAACTGCAATTAATAAAGAGATTATGTGTTCTACTTTTGTATTACTTTTGGATGTGAATGTAGTTTAGATAAACTATACACTCATTTTAAAACTCACAGAAACAAGCCTTCCTGGTAACAAAAAAAAAAAAAAAGACCAGTATAGGAAACAGACCAGAACAGCAGAAAATGCTTTGTTTCTCTTGTCTGGATTCCTGGATATTTTCATTAAGATAGGGACGTTCATTATTCCTACACTGCACGTACGCATAAAATAGCTGCTCTGCAAGATAATAAACAATTCCTGCCTACGACATTGTGTTAATTTGTCAACGATCAAGCAGAATCTAAATT